AGTTCCAGCGTAGGAGGCGAAATCCGTCTTAAGGAAATTTGCATTCACATACGTCGCTTTATTTTATCTTCTTCTAATTTTTGTATTTTCCTAAATGTTAGTAAATTGTCATTTTAACTACTTTTCATGCACCTATCTTGATTTCAGTAAGTCAAAATGTTTTTCGATAATTTGCATGTCAATAGCAAATAAAAGCATGCATGCATTATAGTAATTGGAATATATTGCGCCAATTTATCCAACAAATACACAGGCTGTGATTGAGGCTGGTATTATTTCACCTCTTCTCCCACTGCTTCAAGATGCTAATCATTTTGATGCTGCTGCTGAGGTTATCTATAATGTCACGACTAAGGGAACTAATGAGCAAATCAGGTAAATTCGTCATAGCTATTGTCATATTCTCGTAGCTTATTGTACATTTAGTTTGAGTATTAATGCTTCAACTTTGTGGCAGGTTCCTGGTGGACAAGGGTTGTATAGAGCCAATCTGCGATCTTCTAGTTAATCCCAACGAAGTGCATGTCATAAAAATTTGCTTGGAAGGCCTTGAGAACATTCTGAAGGTTGGAGAAGCTGAGAAGAACCAAGGTAACACCGAAGATGTGAATGTCTTTGCTCAGATGATTGTTGACGCTCGGGGCCTAGAGAAGATTAAGAACCTCCAGACTCATGACAACAGTAAAATATGTGAACAGGCCAGGAAGATACTTGAAGCATATTGGTAGGAATAGGATGATGATTAGCTGCCTTCTGATTATGCTCCACAATCCGGGTGTATTTGTTGCACAGTAATTGATCTTTTCCTTCATTTTCTGCCATAAATTTGAAGGCTTGTTTGGTACACGCTAATGGATTGGAGAACACAACTCAATGGATAAGATTTTGAACTTTTTTTTTTGTCCATTCTACTCTACCAAACGTGGCTAAGGACTTTAAAAACATCTGCTTCCAAAAATCTGGACATGGTCTTCAAGTGATCCGTCGAGGAGAAATAAACATTCAAGCTAAAATAGGAAAATATATAGCAAGCTTTTTTTTCGATGAATTTGGAGTCTAACATCTGATGTAAAATTACCCACCAAAAATTCATTTGGAACATTTTTCATCCATTTGATACAAACCATTCGAACTTTGGAAAAGAAAGATATGCTAAAAAATTGAGAATCGAAGATATTAACAAAGCACTAGAAAAACGAAAGGGTGGACACGAAATGTAGATATAATTACGTGGTACTTTTCAAGAATAAGGGGTGGACATGAAGTAATTTGTATTAAGAATAACTAAAAAAATTGTCGACTAAAAGTATAAGCGTGAAATTGCAATAAGAAAAATTATACGACAGTTTACACTGCGATTTATTTTTGAAGCCTAAAATAACATGATGGAACATCTAATAGATAATATCCCATAAAACAAGAAACTCTAAAAATGATAAAAATCATATATAATATGAGCCAAGTGGTCTGTATAAGAGAGTAGTGGATCAACTTATTATTTAAACATTGGACTTTACATTGAATGGACCGTGAGGTGGATTTTGTGATTTTCTATTATTATTTTGACCTTATTAAGCTTATTAGTATGGTTTAAATAGAAATTTATTGATAAAAACATAAATTTATTTCGCCATTTACTTACTTCGGATTGTATTTATATTGCTGAACATTTTACATTCTTTGATTGAGTTGAATAAACATTCTTCCTCTCAACATTTTTCTTCCCTGTAATATGGTATCAGAGCAATTTACTTCTCAGCTTTGCAATTAATTTTTTTTACTGATCAATCATGGCAAGTGATCTAATTCAAATCTCAGCTTCTTCGATGAGTAATTCCGCCGTTGAAGATGGCTTAAATCCTTATTTTCTTCATCATTCTGATAATCCTGGTCTCATATTGGTTTCACACCAATTGACTGGTGAAAATTATACATCGTGGAGTCGCGCTATGTTCATAGCTTTATCAGTGAAGAATAAGGTAGATTTCATATATGGATCCATTACTCGACCTAAAGATAGTGCTGAGCTTCTTAATTTCTGGATCCGTAATAACAACATGGTTATATCATGGATCCTTAATTCCGTTTCAAAATAGATTTCAGTCAGCAATATTTACTCTGAATCTGCTCATGAAATTTGGACTGATCTTGAGGAACGATTTCAGCAAAGGAATGGTCCTAGAATCTTTCAACTCAGGCGTGAATTAATGAATCACACGCAAGGACAAATGTCATTTAGTGTTTATTTCAAATCTAAAAACAATTTGGGAAGAACTTAGAATTTATAGGCCTTCGTGTTCATGTGGACAATGTACCTGTGAAGGGAACAAAAAATTGATGGAACACTATCACATGGAGTACGTTATGTCTCTCTTAATAGGGCTGAACGAATCATATTCTCAAGTCAGGGGCCAGATATTACTTATGGACCCTATTCCCCCAATCAACAAAGTTTTTTCTCTTATCTCTCAAGAGGAACGTCAAGGGGGGATAAATTCAATTGCTGGAACCACTGATTCCTTGGCCTTCTATACCAAAAATGATGATAGAAAGCCAACCATGGGGCAGTCTTTTAACAAGAATCAAAGGAGAGAGAGGCCAATTTGCACCTACTGTGGTTATGGAGGTCATGGAGTTGATAAATGTTATAAACTCCATGGCTATCCACCGGGTTACAAAGCAAAACAAAGGACTGGTTCTAGTAATCAAACTCGCTATAAGCAAAATGCTGTAACTAACCAAATTTCTGACTCCATTCAGGCCAACCTGTTGGTAATGTTGGAAATTTTGTACAAACTTTGAACCCTGATCAGTACAAACATTTGATGAACATGATAAGCACACATCTAGCTGCTGCAAAGATAGGAGATGAGAATGCCAATTCAGACCATGTATCAGGTACATGCTTGTCTATTTCGAATAATAAGATATTCAATTCTACTGGACATTGGGTTATGGATTCTGAGGCAACCAGTCATGTTTGTTTCAATCGTGCCTCCTTCAAAACACCAAGGGGAGTACAAAATGCCTATATCACATTGCCTAATCATATCAGGATACCAGTACATTTTATTGGAAATGTTGAGCTCACTCCTGAACTGATTCTTCAAAATGTATTATTTGTTCCCCAGTTCAAGTTTAATCTCCTATTGATTAGCTCCTTAACCAAGGATTCTCATATAGGTGTCAAAATTTTTACTGATTATTGTGCAATTCAGGATTTGTGCAGTCGGAAGATGATTGGTAGGGCTGATAGGATTGATGGCCTTTACATCATTTATGCATGATCTGATGTAATGAAGAATGATTGTAATTCCTTTAAATTTGTTGATAATCATATATGTTCTGTAATAAATAAGATGACCTCGCATGTTTGGAATCATAGATTGTGATATTTATCTTTTAAAAGATTGGAGATTTTGAAAGATCGGTTACATTTCAAAAGTGAGAGAAATGGTGTTAATCCTTGTTACATTTGCCCCCTTGCTTAACAGAGGCATTTAACATTTTCTTCGAATAATCACCTATCTGAACACAGCTTTGATCTCATACATTGTGATGTTTGGGGTCCATATAGCTCACCAACTCGTGATGGTCATAAATATTTTCTTACACTTGTTGATGACTGTACAAGGTTCACTTGGGTTTATCTGATGAAACAGAAATCTAATGTGCACGAAATTATTCCCAGATTTTTCAGCCTTGTTGAGACTTAGTTTCATAAAACCATTAGAGCATTCAGGTCTGATAATGCACCTGAATTGCGATTTACAGAATTTTTCAATAAAAAGGGTGTGTTACATCAATTTTCATGCCCTGAATGCCCTGAGCAAAACTCAGTTGTTGAGAGGAAGCACCAGCATCTACTTAATGTAGCAAGAGCTTTATTTTTTCAAACACAAGTTCCTATTTCATTTTGGGGATATTGTGTGTTAACTGTCACTTACCTAATAAATCGAACTACTTCATCAAATCTTCAGAACAAAACACCATTTTCCCTATTATATCAATCATCAGTTGACTATAATTTCCTCAAAGTGTTTGGATGTCTATGCTTTGCATCTACCATCACATCTCATCGTTTAAAATTCCATCCTAGAGCAAAGGCATGTGTTTTCATTAGATATCATCTTGGCATTAAAGGGTATAGGCTATATGATATTGTCTCCAAAATTATTTTCATATCTAGAGATGTGATTTTCCATGAACACATCTTCCCTTTCCATCCTGCCTCAAAGAGTCCTGATGACATTGACTCTTTTCCTAACCTTGTTCTTCCTAATCATGTCACTACTGTTCCTACAGATGAACATCATACTGATAATGAATCTTCTCATATTCATATCCATGAAATTTCAAATCAAACTGACATGCCTTCACCAAGCGTAGATTCCACTGATATTCCTACTGATATGCCTTCTCAAAATCATGATCTCCCTATAACACTACATAATCCTGATGTTCCCATTGCTCCTATTCTGAGGAGGTCTCTAAGAACTAGCAAAACCCCCTCATATTTGCAAGAATTTCATTGTAATCTCATGTCTAATTCATCATCTTCCACTCTTCCATCATCCCATTATTATCCCTTAAGCCATTTTCTTTCCTATTCTAAACTTTCTTCATCTCATAAAAACTTTATCTTAAACATATCCTCCAACATTGAACCACAGTCTTGTCATCAGGCTGTAAAGGAAGCTCATTGGAGAGATACCATGGTTGCTGAATTGGATGCCATGGAACTAAACAAAACCTAGTCCATTACCACTTTGCCTAAAGAGAAGCACACTATAGGCTGCAAATGAGTTTGTAAAACTAAGTACAAATCTGATGGGGGGTGTTGATAGACACAAAGCACGCTTAGTTGAAAAAGGTTTTACTCAACAGGAGGGGCTAGATTTCTTGGAAACCTTTTCTCCCGTGGCTAAGACGGTGACAGTGAAGCTATTGTTGGCCATAGCAACAATAAACAATTGACACATCATTCAACTGGATATAAGTAACGCATTTCTCCATGGAGATTTTTTTGTGAAAATTTACATGGATATGCCTTTGGGTTATAATCCTTCCAAAACATCTAGCAGAGAGGGGGAGCACTTGGTTTGTAGATTACATAAATCTATTTATGGTTTGAAACAGGCTTCCAGACAATGGTTTTCGAAGTTCTCTCATGCCCTTATATTAAATGGATTCCATCAATCAAAATCTGATTATTCCTTTTTCACAAAGGGATCTCGAAATAAATTTGATGCTTTGCTGGTGTATGTCGATGACATTGTCATCATAGGGTCAAATTCTTGCATTATTGATGATTTAAAGGCATTCCTTTATAGCCAGTTCAAACTTAAAGATCTAGGTAAGCTCAAGTTTTTTCTTGGTTTGGAGATTGCCAGATCCCATAGTGGTATTGTATTGTCCCAAAGGCATTATGCCATCCAATTGTTGGAGAATACGGGATTTATTGGCTACAAGCCCGCTATAGTGCCCAGGGATCCCAAAGTTCGTCTGAACTCCTTTGAGGGGGAGCTATTAGAAGACAGTACTATGTATAGAAGGTTAATTGGGAGATTGTTCTACTTAATAGTATTCAGGCCAGATATTACTTTTGCTGTCCATAAACTAAGCCAGTTCGTTTCACAACCTCGAAAGCCTTATTTAACTGTTGTTAATCATTTGCTCCAATATATTAAAGCTACCCCAGGCTAGGGGTCTTACATTTTCTGCAGGTTCATCTTTACAATTGCGAGCATACGCTGATGCTGATTGGGGATCGTGTTTAGATTCAAGAAAATCAGTTACTGGATTCTGTGTTTTTCTTGGGAATTCAATGGTAACCTGGAAGGAAAAGAAACATAACACCATATCAAGAACATCTGCAGAGGCTCAGTATCGCGCTTTGGCCTCAACTGCTAGTGAATTAGTATGGGTACGGCAACTGCTTTGTGACTTTCAAGTGGATGCCAAGAAGCCTGCTTTAATCTTCTGTGACAACCAGGTAGCTGTTCACATCGCTACCAACCCCATTTTCCACAAGTGCACTAAGCATGTAGAGATAGACTGTCATTTTGTAAGGGACAAAATCAATGATGGAGCTATTAAACTGTTACCAGTCCGAGCGAATCTTCAACTCGCATACATTTTCACGAAGCCATTACCTGCATCTACATTGTATCATTTGTTGTCCAAGATGGCCATTACCAACATCCACAGTCCATCTTGAGGGGAGTATAAGAACCAGTGAATTACTTAGCTGGTTTTTTATTCATCTTATCTGTCAAGATTCGGTCTACAACATTAGTCATCAAGGAGATAGTTTAGTTTGTTAATACAGTTGTAAACTAATTTTCCCACCTATTTCTTTTCCGCCATTTTCTTACTTTGGATTGTATTTATATGGCTGAACATTTTACATTCTTTGATTGAGTTGAATAAACATTCTTCCTCTCAACATTTTTCTTCCATGTAATCCGTTAAAAGGAACCTTTGCACGAAATCGAATTTCTTTTACCAACTAAAATTCAATGGATTTTTTTTTCTTCATTTTTGCCGTTGGAGTATTGATGAGGGTCCACAATAAAGATAACTTATGTACTAAATGTACGAGCAATTTTATGTCTATACATTGCAATGCTAATTAACTTGCACTTATACAACTTGAAAGTTCACCTTAGATATATAATTTATCAATTTGCTACTACTATATTTATTCAATTAAAAATATATTTATTCTAAGGAAATTTATTTAACATGTAAAGAGTGTTGTACGTGTAAACTAACGTCATTGTTGAAGTTGGATGTAAAATTAGTTCAAGTGATGAAGAGGAAGAATAGAAGTTATCAGATATATCTATAGTTATGTTGAGAGGTCAAGTAGTAGGATGAGAAAAAAGAGAAAGCTTGTTAGGATGCATAGGCAGTAGGGGCGTGGCCACCTTCGGCATCGACATGTAAGGAGAAAGTTGAAGAATTATATGCAGGAGTGGACCCATTAAGGGCCCAGTGGGGGCAGTTGCCCCCACTGGGCTCATAATTGTTTGCCTTAAAAAAAGGGAACAATACATAGTTCCTATTTTTAAAGTTCACATTTCATAAATAACAAACTTTTTAAAATATTTCAAAAATCAGGTGCTAAATAAATTTATTAAATATTAAATTATAATATATTAAATATTAAATTATAATATAATATATATTAATTATTTACATTTTACACCACCCCAT